CAAGGAGGTTAAGCAACATGCTTAAAGCTACCCTTGTGGTAAGTGACAGTGTTGGGAATTGAACCCGGGTTTAATTCTGACATCAAAAGTAAGCCTCCCTATAATTCATCTTTCTCTTTACTCTTTTCACATATGTCTTAACTCCCTGAGTAGATTGTAGAGTCTCAGAGTGCTGGCCTCTACCTATTTATATACCTAGTGCTTAATATGATAAGCTGCAAAATAACACGGCAGCCTGCGCTGTTGTTAACAACGATGCAAATGATTGTCAAAACTGCTTTAGTTTCCCTTTTGAGATTGTTAAAATTTTAACAGTTTCTTAGTGGCTGAATTTTATATCTAGTGTATAAAGATGTTAAATCTAATGCACAGCAACCCGATGTATTAGCATAGTATAGCACATCATCTTTAACATAAGCCAGAAAGCTAACTATAGTCAAAGAGCAACAATAACAAAGTGAAAGAAGTTACCTCCTTAGAAATGTATTTAATTAACTGGAGGTTGTGAACAATTTCTTTTCCATTTTGTTTTTCTTCTCATTTTCAAAAACCTGCACCAAAGGATGGTTGGGATTTTGCCCCACCCCCACCCTGATTTCTATGAGAAAATCTCTAATTATTTTATGTGAATAGTGGATTTTTATTCCACTATAATGAAAATGTTACATAAATGCAGCTTCCAATCAAGCCCCCTAACCACTCTACTTTTAACTAGAATGGTATCCCAATGTCTGTAAAAGAAACAGAAATTGGCTCTGTAATTTCTAAAAATTATGGACTGACTTCATGGACTGAAGTTAGACAGTGGTGAAAGACAAGGTTGGGAAAAGGTGGTACTATCCAGTCTGAGAAAACCTTGAGTGCCTAGGGAGAAACTTAGGCTTTATTCTGAAATGGAAAGTTCTTGATGCTTCAAGGGGGATGAGGACGGCAGAAGGGAGAGATGAACGAAGAGGTTATTTGTCAATAGTGAAGGAAGACAGAAAATAAAAAAGACACTTAGAAAACTCTTGAAGTAAGCCAGCATAAATTGATGGGACTTCAGGTAAAGGCAATACAATCAAGGGAAAAAGGAATAAGCAAGAAAAACATTATTTTGAAAAAGGGAACTTTCATGGCCGCAGAAGTAGATTTAGCTGTCATTACTGTGGTTTTTCATTTTGTCTATGCTACAATATCCAAACCACCAACTGAAAAATTCTACAAATCTGCCTATCATTCTCCATGGACATCTATTTTACTTTTTTGTTATTCCACTGAATATATAACTTAGAAATCATTCCCTACACTAGGACAGCTGAAGTCTGATACAAAGAACACACAATTTGGAGTCAAATATTAGAAGCTCAGCTGTACTACCTGTTACCTATACAACACGAGCAAGTCATTTCATGTCTCTGAGTCCCTATTCCAACTGAGAAAGCACATTGTAAACTATCAGATCTCACACAGATATAATGTGGTGCTATTATGTCTTCAGGAAAAGCTTTTGGCGCCAACCCATAGATTAGCTGCACTTTTGTTAAAAGGTTGAATTTATTTCTAAAATAAATCCAATAATTTCAAATTTGAAATAATCTAGAAATTCCTACATCAATAAACACCACCGTTTTAATGACCATGCTCTGGCCAAAAAAAAAAAAAAATTAAGCAAATATTACTTGCATTATAAGTATAATTTTCTCCTTCTTTCTAAGTCACTTTTTTTTAAGAGATGGGGTCTTGCTATGTTGCCCAGGCTGCAGTGCAGTAGCTATTCACAGGCAGGATCATAGCACACTACAGCCTTGAACTCCTGGACTTAAGTGATCCTCCTGCTTCAGCCTCTGAAGTAGCTGGGACTACAGGTATCTGCCACCACACCCAGTGTCCTAAGTCACATTTTTTATGAAAAGGAAAAAATAATTCATTTTGGTTCAGGGATTTTTGCTAAATTTGTCTTTTCCTTTGAGAACAGAAAAATTGGGTTGACATCAAGTCTACCAACTATGGAATTCTGGGGCTTTCTGGTGTTGATAGATTCATTCAAGTATATGAGATGAATATTGCAGAACTTTGTATTTGACATTTCATTATTTCAGGTCTGTCTGGAACCAAGAAGTATAAAGATGTCTTAAATTTATAGCTAATGATAAATTGTGATATATTGATCAAGATCAAAGTGTTGATTTATGGTTTTTGACAGTTTTCATATTTTGTGATACTTCACTGGTTACTATGTATATGAGAGTGGTGGAAAAAACAGAAAAGCTATAAATGCACAAATATGTGCATTGATACCTCTAACCATCAGCATAAATTACATAAATGGGATTTTCTAGCTACATACGATCTGTCATATGATCAGAAGATTACAGGTATATGACTAAATTTTCAAATAACATTAAAAATTTCTTTCTCTCTCTCATATATATGTATACACATACATATATATGAAATTAGCAACCTGATAGAAGTATCTAATGTGTATCTAATAAAATATTGAAAACTTTTTTTTACTACAGCAGAGTTTTCATTGGGCTTAGATTAAAAAGAAGTCTGAAAACTGTTTAATTTCTGCAGCTTGCATAGCAATAGTGGACAGCTGCCAGCACAAGGCTTTATCACAGTGTAAATGGGGTTTTAAGTGTTTGTTTCCAGTGCAGGTTCTCCCAGCCCAGGCACTTCCCAGTCTCATTGTTCCTTTGTTCTAGCGGATGTACAAAGGATTGACTGTTTTGTTTTCTGGCTCAGAGAGATTAGATAAAGTCTACATTTCTGAACTTCACCCTCTAAGCACGCAACCTTAACATTCATTTTGTGTAGCTCATATTTTGCAGATTATATATGTTTAGATTATAGCGACCATAACGTCAGTTTCTTTCATTTTTATCTGGCTTGGTAGTAAATGCAGATGACAGTATTGATCCCTTTTGAACTATCACTGGAAGCGGCTGCCCCTCTCATCCTTGTCCTTAAAATGCCACTTCAGCAAAAACACGTCATCTCAGTTGGGTGTGACAATGTTGTTCTTGAGTTTCGTTGGCTAGTACAATCCCATGGTCTATTCTATGTCCTGTTACTTCTGAAAACCACTTTGGAATGCAGGTATTATTATTAATTATACTCCCAGACAGATGAGGAAACAGAAGTTTAGATAGGTTAAGTAACTTGCCCAAAGTCTCATGACTGATAAGTGATGGAGCCAAGATTTGAATTTCAGTCTGACTCCAAAGCCCTCACTCTCTACTATTACATCTCACTGGTTCTGTGGCAATATCTTCTCCTAATTATAAGAATAATAATATTATTATTATTATTAAAGATAATAGTAGCTAACATTGAGCACTTAGTGCATGCCAGATACTGTTCTAAGTGCTTTTTATATAATATTCAATTTATTCTTCATAACAATTCTACTAAAAAGATAATATTATTATCAGCACCGCATACATGAGGAAACTGAGGCACTGCTCAAAGTGCACCGCTACAAAGTAGGAAAGCCCGATTCAAGCCTGATTCAAGCCCAGGCCATCAGACTCTAGAACCTACACTCTTGAAGTGAACTAAAGGGCTATGCGATGATATGAACCATGCAACCTTGTGTTCCAGTCTCTCCTGTGCTTCGGGCTCTTTGTGAATTATATTAGTTAGTTACTGCTGCCTCGGCTTACTTGTCAGCTAATATATTATTATTAATTATCGATATTATAAAATGGTATGTGGCATATTTAATTTTTACAGTATGATGTACTCATATAAATCATAGCATAAAATATAAAACACAGAGACATTAGATTTCATAGGCTGTATTAAGCCTCTGGTGTCTTATGGGTTGTCTGTCCATATATGCCTTTTAAATACAGAGTAAGGTTACCTTATTTCTTTTTGTATATATTAATATGTTAATCACAAGTGAACATCTTTTTAAAGTATATATTGTTCTAATAAGGTCTAGAATTCTTGATGTTATCTTGTGAATAAAATATAGTCTATCAGGTGGTGGATAAGAATTGAAGTCTCTGTAGCCATGCCACTAAAACATCTAACCTGACCCTTAAAAATTGGTCTCTGATATCTTGATTCCACTTTCTAGACCAAGAACCATGTAGGATTCCTGAAAATTTTTCATATGGAGATGTCTCTCTATAGCTCTACTCTCAGCTTTCAGGATAGCAACAGCTTTGTTTCTCAGATTCCACTTCCCACTGTAAAAAGAATGGCTGCTCATTAAATACCATTGACCTAGTTCCTAATCCAAAGATGTGCTCTTTATCCTATTTCAAGTTCAATGGTGGAAATTCAACACAGGCAAAACAGGACTCCTCAAACTGACCCATAGCTTTGGGAGTTGAAATCAAGTTAACAGCTGGCTGCAAGACTTCCCCATTCCCACCTCTTCTGGGGCATTGGCAGCTCCAAAGTGCCCCAAAACTGAGATTTTAAAAATTTAGGCAGGTAGGGAATCTCAGCTGTTGGGAGAATCCATTTTTGTGTGCAAACCTACCTTAGGCTTTTAATCAAATCTGTATCTCTTGTGGGTGTTTAATATCCAAAAACCACCCAAAGTTATGTATACTTGACACCAACAATCCACAACCTCGGAAAAAGTTCGGTACAAATTTCAAATTCTTTTTATTTAAATATTTACATTTTCCATTGAGATTTTCAATATTTGTCTAGGCATAGTCTGGATATTTGTCAATGTTTGAAAAGTGTGCTAAACTTGCAAGCCAAAGAAAATATGACCTTGCTTGGACTTTCAAGGTCAAAGCAACCTTAACCAAAAAAAAAATTTATTAGGAAAAGGAATTCATATGGCTAGTAGCTAAGTGGAGTTTTTCTTTTGAAAGTGAAATGGTAGGTTTGGAAGTGAAGCAAAATGCCAATTTGTTTCACAGGTAGCAGATTCTTCAAGTTTTTAAGAAAAATGAATCTAGATAGTGGCAAAATAAGCTTATTTATAAGTTATTTACAAAAGTCTTCAAGCCATGTTCTTTTTCTTGGTATTTGCCTTGCAGATCCTTTACCTCCTGCTAGGTTTGAAGTCAACAAAGAGAAGACGACTTCAACCAGCTTGCATGTTTGGTGGACTCCTTCGCCCGGAAAAGTCACCTGGTATGAGGTGCAATTATTCGATGATAATAACCAAAAGATACAGGAGGTCCAAATTCAGGAAAGCACTTCATGGAACGAATACACCTTTTTAAATCTCACTGCTGGTAATAAATACAATATTGCCATCACAGCTGTTTCCGGAAATAAACGTTCCTCTCCGGTTTATACCAATGGATCAACAGGTAAGACCTGTTTATAAATACTTGAGTTTTTAATAGTCTATGATACTTTTGAAGTTATATTTTATTCCAGAATAGGAGTGAGAATGTCCCCCAGTCCAATTAATTAATTTTTAAAAGGAAGTCGTGTGATACGGTAGAAAAACTGGACCAAAAATAGGATGTGTGACCGTGCTGCTAACTTGCTGAGTGATTTGGAACAAGTCATGCACGGGACTCCTCTGAACTAAAGTTTTCTCCAGTTTGAAACAGATGCTCCCTAATGGCCCTTCAAACTCAAATCCTAGGCAACAGAATTTTCTGCCTCATTTCTAGGTTTGTGCCATAAAACTTATTTTTAAAAAGTTTTCTTTCTTTATATATTCTTCTCATAACATCAAGCCATGATGTTTCCTAAATGTCCCTATGTTTGAAACAGTCTTTGCTTCCTTGATGTGGTGAAAAATAAGTCATTTATTGCTCCCACATACCATGACATCCACGGCACATTACTACTTCCTTCGATAAGTACATGTCTTTCGTAACATTCGCACACCTCATTTTCTCTCTGTTTTTAATCTGTCCATTTTTCATCTTCCGTAGTTCTTTCCTTTCTCCCTTCCATTTATTGCTGTGCCATGTTATACTTGGTCGGCAAAAACTCCCTTAATACCTATCAAGTGGGGGAAAAAGACAAGTCAATGGTGATGTAGCCTTAGCCTGTGGACTTTGAACAGAGCATTAATCAAGGTTCCAGTGAAATTTTCAGAGTCCAGTTATTCATTATTGCTATTACACAAGCTAATATATAGAGAGAAGCATAAATAAATGTGTCATTTCTAATTAAATGTGCCTTTGTCTTCTATAAGGAAATTATGAATGATATTTTGGACATGACTTTTATCCCACTAGTGCCATCTCCAGTTAAAGATATTGGTATTTCCACAAAAGCTAATTCTCTCCTGATTTCCTGGTCCCATGGCCCTGGGAATATGGAACAGTACCAACTGATGCTAATGGATAAAGGGACCGTAGTTCATAGCAGTGCTGTGGACAAACATGCTACTTCCTACGCTTTTCATGGGCTGACACCTGGCCACCTCTACAACCTCACTATTGCTACCGAGGCTGCTGGGCTACAAAACTACAGGTGGAGACTAGTCAGGACAGGTAAGTTTCCCCTAACTAGTGAAACAAGAATAAAGCACAAATCAAGGGAATGTTTAATACATCAGGCTGATTAAGTTATTTGAATAATGGTAATATAGGACAAATTAAAATTCATATAAGTTATAGAAGAGCCTTGATACATTTCTACTTTTCTACTGAGATTCCCTTTTACTCTAAAGTTTAGGCTAGCCCGTGGCAACATTTGGAAATAGGCAAAATTACTTGCTGACAGGGTCCCAGCTTCACTTTTTAGTAGTCCCATCTCCTGCCATTTTGCTTCTCTTAAGCACTGCCTTGGTGACATCCCTCACAGGGAGCCAGGATTAGTTTCCCAGTGCTATACATAGACCTACCCCCGTGTGACAGTCATTTCCAAAGCCCTCTGTCTAACAAAACACGTCCTGGGCCCAAATATCACAGGTCCTATTGTCACAGTCTAACCTACACTGATAAAATAATCTGAGGTAAGTGTTAATGAATAATTCTTGCAGGGATTCCTTCACTGAACCAAAATTCATTGAATGTAAGCTATATGCTAGGCATTGCTGATTTAACAACATCCAAAAGACACAAAGTCTTTGTCCTCATGGAGCTTGCATTCTAGCAGATTTTAATGCTTCTAGCAGGTCTAATGGGTTAATAAGTCCCTACTCTTGGTGAGTTATCTAATTTTAAGAGAAAATCTAAACCATTTAATGCCTTAGAAATTATTCTAGTGGGGAGGGTTTCTGGAACTATAAGAGGCTGATGAGAAAAATATTTGAAGACTCCTGTACATTTACACACCTTTCATAACACACCTCAAAGATGTGTAGACATTCTTGACAAAAATATATTCTTTATCTCAAGAGTTATTTTTGTATATCAAGAAACACATTATACTTCTAAATGCCCTATACAAGATCAATGAGCTATGTCCATTCTTTTAATGAAACCTCATTAATTTACATTATGCCATTAGTGAGGCCCAAAACTACAGCATGGGCAAGAGGTCAAAAAAATATTCACCAAAGGATACCTCCTCTATAATCATTTTCCTTTGGTGAAATAGTAACACAACTCTTTTTATCATAATTTAATATGAAAAATAAAGCATTTTTAGCATACAAAATTTTGTATTCACCAATTTATTGAACAATCTATTTATTATGTACTTGATATTATTAAACGTATAAAGACGAGAAGAAATTAGGCAGATGGCAGACCTCTTTGTGCATTGATTGCCCTTAAAGAATTTCAGAACTGGAAAGGACCAAGCCTCATCTGCCAATGAGCAGCACTGGACTCAGCGATCTGGAGCGAGCTGTCCAGTGTCCTAGCTGACTAATGGCCACATCTGAACCAGAATCCCAGGCTCCCAATGGCCAGGATTAGGATCTTGCCACTAAATATACAGCCTTTCTTTGGTTTTATGGTATTATTTTTGCCTCTACAAGTGGTTGTTTTCTTCTGAGCAAGGAATGTGGCTTGCAAAAATTAAAATACGGTCAAAATTTGGCCACAGGACTGGTAAGATATCCTGAATAAAAATATCTTTTCCATTCTTTCCTAATTAGCCCCCATGGAAGTCCCAAACCTGAAGGTGACAAATGATGGCAGTTTGACCTCCCTAAAAGTCAAGTGGCAAAGACCTCCTGGAAATGTGGATTCCTACAACATTACCCTGTCTCACCAAGGGTCCATCAAGGAATCCAGAATATTAGCACCTCAGGTTACTGAAACTCACTTTAAAGATTTAGCCCCTGGACGACTTTATCAAGTTACCATCAGCTGTGTCTCTGGTGAACTGTCTGCTCTGAAGACAGCAGTGGGCAGAACATGTGAGTCTTGGGCTACAGAATATTCCTTGGTTGCCCAAATAACTCTCTGATCCATCTTAGATTAGGACAAAATGAGTTGGAAGGAAAACTCCCTTTCTAACCTAGGAAGTAGAGTCTATATGACTGAGGATGTCAGTGGGCCACAGCCCAATATGCAGAGTAAAGCGGAAGGTTACCTGCATTCATCTGAGTTATTTAAGTAAATGTGTTTGGATTCCTAAGTGATCTGCATATTATTTCTCTCCTATGTTTGTTCATGTCACATCACTTCAGTAGCATAAATACATTAGCTTTGATACCAATAAATAAAACATTTCTGATCCATTCTTATAGTGAGGACCAGTAAGCACTTAACCATGTCTTCCATACATTATTTTATTAATTTATGTCACCAAATATTGATCCAGTGTCCTATATGTGTATATTATTGTACTATGAGCTTTCGGCATTGTTAAAATGGATGAGACGTGCTACTTGCCTTTAAGTCAGGGTTTATTTACCAGGCTACACCCTATGAAACCAAATCTGGTCTGTGGTCTGTTTTTGGTTAGCCCCCAAGCTAAGAATTGTTTTTACGTCTTTAAAGGGTTACAAAAACAAACAGACAAACAAACAAGTAAACAAGAAAAATATGAGACAGAGACCACATGTGGCCTGCAAAGCCTGAAATATTTACTATCTGGTCCTTCCAGAGAAAGTTTACTGACCTTGCTTTAGAGAGAGGTTGCATCTTAATCACACAGATGTAGAATATACACACAAATATAAAACAAGTACATTTTAATAATGATGACTGTATTGATATTTCCGTGAATCAAGCACTGACTAAACACTTTGCACCCATTATTTCATTGACTTCTCATAAGAACACCATGAGAGATGTCCTGTTATTGTCACCATTTTACAGATAATTCAAAGAGGTCAAATAACTCATCCACAGTCATCCAGCTAGTAAGTAGTGGAGCTAGAATTTAAGGGAGGCTGTTTGATTCCATAGCCCATTCCTGTGCTACTAAAAATCTCAAGAAAGAGCTATATGGTCAGAAAGGAAAGAGAATAAAATTCTCTTTCAGAAGAGCAGTAACAGCTTAGAGGAAATGGCCTTTAAATGGGACCTTAAAAAATGTGAAGTTCTTGGTAAATGAACAGGAAAAAGAAGGAAGGGCATTTGAAGTGGAAGGAATAGTATAAGCAAAGGCACAGAGGCAGAAGAGCCCAGGAGACTTATAGGTCTGCAGAGCATACAACTGGAGGGCAGCTTTTTCAGGGGTAGGGAAGGAGGGAGGGGCTGCAGGAAATAGTCAGAGTTAAGACTGGAAGGATGTGAACTGAACTTAAAGAGCTACGAATGCCAGCAAAGGACCTGATATTTTACTCTGTAGTTTATAAGGAGAACTTGATGTTTTTAAGAAAAAAAAAATTAATAAGATCAGAGATAAATTGCAAGAAGATTTTCAGTTGGAAAAGAAAAACAGGAATGCTTCATGACCACAACATCCAGTATGTCTTCCAAAAGATGCCACCATCATCAGGAGCAATGCCAGTATTGTGTCTAGGACTGGAGTGCAATCAATAAAAAACAGCATTCATGTCGCTAGATTATTAACAGTGTTACAGAAGATCACATTATTAAATATTACTAAGATATTTTACTAAAATGACTTTAGCATACATTTCATGAGTGTCAAATGTCTCCAAAATGAAGAAAGAACACTCATTTGCAATCCACAGACATCAGAAGGGGACATAAATGTTTTGAATTGCAGTAGATAGCAGATCTACTGTTGCCCATGAAAAGTAAATTAATGTCCTTACTTTTGGTTTCTAGTATCTCCTTTTTTTTTTTTTTTTTGAGACAGAGTCTCACTGTGTTGCCTGGGCTAGAGTGCCGTGGAGTCAGCCTAGCTCACAGCAACCTCAGACTCCTGGGCTCAAGCAATCCTCCTGCCTCAGCCTCCCAAGTAGCTGGGACTACAGGCATGTGCCACCATGCCCGGCTAATTTTTTGTATATATTTTTAGTTTTCCAATTAATTTCTTTCTAATTTTAGTAGAGACGGGGTCTCGCTCTTGCTCAGGCTGGTTTCGAACTCCTGAGCTCAAACAATCCGCCCCCCTCGGCCTCCCAGAGAGCTAGGATTACAGGCGTGAGCCACTGCGCCCGGCCTAGTATCTCGTTTTTGACATCATTTGACCTTTTAGTTCCAGACAAAGTCGGGAACCTGGAGGCCACCAACGGTTGGATGAGATCTCTCTTGGTGAACTGGTCGCCCCCTGCTGGAGACTGGGAGCAGTATCGCATCCTGCTCTTCAATGATTCCGTGGTGCTGCTCAACACCACGGTGGCAAAGGAGGAAACACGCTATGTCCTGGGTGACCTGGGGCTCATACCAGGAAGACAGTACGAGGTAGAAGTCGTTGTTGAGAGTGGAAATCTGAAGAATTCTGAGCGTTGCCAAGGCAGGACAGGTAAGCAAATATGAAGGTGTTAATGACTAATGAAACCTTAATTTGTTTCCTCTTCCAAGTAACCCAGGCAGCTGCCAATGTCATATCCCAGTGTTCCCTGAATTTGAGATAATACAGACTTGCAGACTAACATAGGGTGGCTAATATTTAATTTGTCAAATTAGAACGTTAAAAATCTACTTCCACTAGTAACTCCATTATTTCACAGAAGAAGGACATTTTAAATACCAAAAGAACAGAAAGATATAATCTGAGAATAAAGGCTAATCCTTCCCACAAAAGAACATTTTGCTGGTGATCAGTATTAGGGAACCATTGCCTTGACCTAATATTGACTTGTGGGAATTTAAGGTAACAAGGAAGGGTGATTAAAGTAGAAAGAGATATGTTTGGATTTTAGGGAAGAGGAGAACGAAGATCCTGAAACATGAGTCTTGGTATTCTTGCTGTCACCATTCTACTATAATTCCTTAGGCAAGTCACAACTTCTCTGAGCCTGTTTTCTCAACTTTCAAATAAGAGAGTTGCCCTTCCAAGTTTAACATTTCTGTGATAATCCCTAAGATGTGAAATACTCCATTCTTGGAGTGAAATTCAAATAGTCTTGCCTGACAGTAGGATTTAATGTTCTTCTTTGAAGAATGTCAAAGAAAAGGATGGAGACACCCCCTTAGCTTGCCAACTGTGTCTTCCAATAACGTTTTCATCTTCTGAATATCAATATCCGTTGGATGATGATCAAAAACCTGTATCAGCTTAAACCAAGCCAGTTTCAGTATGTCACAGGACAAGCATCTATGTCCTCTGCAACCTCACATAACTTGGAAATGTAAGATCAAGGGGACATCAGGGGCTCTCAGCATGTTGGCATAATTCTCGGGAGAATCTTCTTAAATTGTACCTCCGGTTTCCCTTATTCAGGTAACTTGAAGTAAGCCTTGATGTAAATAATCAAATTACTTCTATATACTGAAGAAGGAAGTTGTAGAGTTAGGGACTCAATTAGGATGGAATTGTAGACAATGTCTTTGATGCAAAAATCACCATAAAATTTTACACACTTGATTCTTTCATAATTGGTTTCCCTGTTATTTTACAGGATCAACACTTTGCTCTTAACAGTATCCCCTAAAAACTGTAATAATAAAGCCTTTTAAAGAAACAGGAGCAATTTTGATTCTGTAGATAAGGGGAGTCCTTAATCAGATGCTGTTTTCCTTACCAACCGCCTCTGCCTCTCATGAACACATCAGTGTCTCCGCCTCAGAAACGAAGGAGAGATGCACGTGGTCTTTCCAAGCTATGGGGATAAAAAATACTCCTAACTCCACCTAAATACTCACAAATAGACTTTTCTCTGTGGTTTTGTGGATGACAAGATGAGATTAAATATTTTTTGTATGACAGAATTCATATGCAGAGATAAACTTTAATAAAGTGGTACGTGGTCAAAGATTCAAGACGCCTTCCAGTAAGGTGTTTTCCAATAGTATTTTTTTGGATCCTTATTTCTGGTTATGTTGCATGAACAAAGTTTTTTTGTCATAAGCTTTTTTTTTTAATCCTCATAAGCACTCATAAAAGAAATGTTGAATTGGAACACTCTTGAGGATGGAAGAGAACAGCCCTCGAAAGAATACTCGGTGAGTGTGTCTGAGTCCATCAGTGACCCACGTCTCTGTTGCTTTCCTCAGTTCCCCTGGCTGTCCCCCAGCTTCGTGTCAAGCATGCCAATGAAACCTCACTGGGCATCATGTGGCAGACCCCTGCAGCAGAATGGGAGAAATATACCATTTCACTAGCCGACAGAGACCTCTTACTCATCCACAAGCCGCTCTCCAAAGATGCCAAAGAATTCACTTTTACCGACCTGGTGCCTGGACGAAAATATAAGGCTACTGTCACCACTATTAGTGGAGACTTAAAAAATTCCTCTTCCGTCAAAGGAAGAACAGGTAATAATGTGTTTGCATTTTAGATTTTAAAATGTTCTGTCTGCTGAATTATTTAACATGCAATTTACAAATATTCATCAAATGCCTATTATGTACTGGGCATGGTTTTATGGCTTCTTTCTGTTGTGTTTGTTTTCTGTTTTACTAATTTCAGCTATCTTTATTAGTTCCTTCTTTTTACTTTGCTTGGGTTTATTTGGCTAAACTTGAAATGGGAGTAAAGAACAACCCTTCCAAGGAGTTTTGCTGCCAAGGAGAGGAGAGAAATAGGACAGCATCTAGAATAGGAAGTACGGTGGAAAGTAGGATTATTTTTTAAGGATAAAAGAAATAACTTCATATTTTATGCCGATGGGAATGATCTAGAAAACAGGGGTATGGTGATGATGTAAAGAGACGGAAGAATTATCGCAGTCATTCTTTGAGTAGGTGAGAGCTATTTGGATCTAGAGCACATGTGAAGGAACTGGCTTCAGAAAGGAGCCCGGGCAATCTAACTTTAATGTCAGTTAGGAAGGAGTATATGGGTGAGATGCCAGGAGGTGGGTGGATGTAGTGGTGGGCAGTTGTCTTCTCAGCGAAATAGGAAGCAAAGATTCCTCTTTTCAATATATATGCTATTGTTGTCCTGTATTTTATTTCTCTCTCCTTTTTTAGCCCCACAAAAAAATGGAATTATTGTTTTACAGAGTCAACATCTGTTTAGATGTACCTACCCGTTTACCATCTTTTCCCCCATTACTTTCCTTTGTTCTGGAGAACACTTCAAATTTCTTTCTTGAGAGTTTCTAGGGACAAATCCTTTCCATTTTTGCTTTTTCTGGGCATGTTTTTATTTATATATTTATTTAGATTTAGAGACAGAGTCTCACTATGTTGCCCAGGCTGGCCTCAAACTCCTGGGCTCAAGTGATCCTCCTGCCTCAGCCTCCCAAGTAGCAAGGACTACAGGCACGTGCCACCATGCCTAGCTGGACATGTCTTTATTTAGCTTTCAGTCTTGAAAGATATTTTCCTTGGGTTTCAATTCTATGTTGGAAGCTATTTTCTCTCAGCACATTGAAGATATTATTCTAGTTTTCCTGGCATTTATTGTTGCTGTTGAAATGTCAGCCATCAGCCTAATTTTTATTTCTCTGAGTAATCTATCTGTTTACTATAACTGCTTTTAAGATCCACTCTTTGTGGTTTTCAGTTCAGCACAATAATGATCTAGATGTAGATGTCTTTTGTTTATCCTGCTTGAGAGTCATGGGGATTTCCCTACTTTCAGATTAGTACCTTTCAATAATCCTGCAAATTTTCAGCTATTAACTCTCCAATATTGCCTATTTTTTTTTTTTTTTTATTTTTGGTAGAGACGGGGTCTCGCTCCTCACTGTTGCTCAGGCTGGTCTCAAACTCCTGACCTCAAGCAATCCTCCCTTCTCAGCCACCCAGCGTGCTAGGATTACAGGCATGAACTACCGCGCCCGGCTCCAATATTGCCTCTTGCCTCTTCTCCATTCCCCCTCTGTCTTCTGGTATTCTAGAACACATACATACACATATGTATATTTTTCATGTATTGGCTCTCTGGACTACAATCTTGAAAATTTCCTCATCTCTTTGTTAAAACTAAAGTTCATTAATTCTTTCTTCAGCTCTGTCTAATCTATTTCTAAATCTATCCATTGAGTTTTAACTTTTAATTGTTACATATTTCCCTTTTAAACATTCTCTTTGGCTCTCTTTCAAATCTATGTTATGCTCTGTTGCTACTTAGTTATATTTTCATTCCCTTCTTTCATTGCTATATGCAAATAAACAATGTTTTTTTCTATTCTAAATCTGATAATTACAGTATATGAAATCTTCAGGAGTTAGATCTTTTTGTCTATTGATTTTCCTGCCTTTTGCTCATGATGCTTTATTTCCTTGAATGTTTGGGATTTCTTTTACTGTAAGCTCATATTCCCTAGAATTTTATTCTGGGGGAATGCATCTTGTTTGAAGGTGCATTTCAGAAAGAATTTTTCATTTGATTCTTTCAGGTGCACAGGACTACTATCAAACCAGACCTACTTTAATTTAAATTATCTAAATTATCAACCTAAGGTTTTTATGATCACTCAGGTTTTATGAATTCTGATTGAAAACACATAGAAGCTATCTTAAGATTATGAATGCTCAGAGGAAATTTTTTTCTCCACTCACTAATAAAGAGGCTAGGGTGATATGGGGAGTAGAAAGGGAATATTTATTTAATTTACACTTAGAATGTAGCCTTTTAGGATCTAGCGTCATGCAGGGTCACCTATGAGCTTCTTCAGCCTATAAAAGTCCTATACTTTACCTCCTATCTCTGAGATCCTGCAACACTATAAAATGGAAGCTTAAATTTATGTTTGAAAGATGCTGTCAAGACAACAACTTGCTTCAATGATCCAGTTACCTCTCTAGCACCTTTTGGCTTCTGAGAATTCCTTACATTCCTGACAACTTACTGATTCATTTACATTTTTATATTTTATTGAACATGTGTAGTTGTGTTTACTGGAGGGATTTTCTTGGTATCTAGCTCATCATACTGCCAGAGAGGAAGTCCAAGGCATTGTTTTAGACTTATGATCATTTTCATCATCCCTACCACCCATATTGCTGGGTCATATGGTAAGTGTATGTTTAACTTTGTAAGAAACTACCAAGCTGTTTTCCAAAGAGGTTGTAAAATTTTACATTCCCACCAACAATATAAGAGATTTCCATTTTCTCCACATCGTCAGCAGCATGGTGTTGTCATTTGTTTTACAATTTAGCCACTCTAATTGCTGTGGTATCTCATGTGGCTTTAATTTGCCTTTTCCTAATGTCTAATGGTCTTGAGAATCCTTTCAAATGCTTATTTCCATACATTTATCTTTTTTGGAGAAGTTTGTGTTCAAATATCCTGCCCATTTTTAAAATAGGGTTGTTTGTTTTCTTATCATTAAGTTTTGAGAGTTCTTTCTTCTATAGAAACAAGTAGAAATGTCCAAAATGTATGAGGAAAATGTTTTCTCCCAGTCTGCGGCTTGTCTTTTCACTATTTTATTATTCACTATTTTGCTGATCATGGCTTTTTAATTCTGATGTCCGATTTATCAATTTTTTTCTTTCATAGATTATGCTATTGGTGTCATATCTAAAAAAACCTTTGCCTAACACAAGGTCACAAGGATTTTCTCCTAGAAGTTTTATAGCTTTAGGTTTTAGATGTTGGTCTATAATCCATTTTGAGTTAATTTTTATGTGTGGTATAAAATATCAGTCAAGGTTTATTTCTTAGCATATAGATATCTAATAATTTCAACCCTATTTCTTGAAAAGACTATCCTTTCTCCACTAAATTACCTTTGCATCTCTAAAAAATCAACTGGCTATATATTTGTTGGTCTATTTCTGGGTTCTCAATTCTTTTCCATCAACCTATGTGTCTGTACCCTCTGCCAGGATCGCACTGACCTGATTATTGTAGCTTTTTAGTAAAACCAGATGATGTTAGTCCTCCAACTTTGTTCTTTTTCAAAATTATTTTTAGCCATTATAGATACTTTGCTTCCCATATAAAGTTTAAAATTAGAATTCTAAATTTCTAAATTTAGAAATTTAGAATTTAGAATTCTAAATTTTCTGATCCATGTATAGTAGCATTTTTAAATGAATATGTTTATATCTTAATCCAAAAGTCAGGGAACTTTAAGAACAAGAGTGACAAGGTTCCAATCCCTTTGATTATCATAATTCAGGAAAGAGGCACAAAGAAGAAAGTATGTTGACCAAGTACCAACTTCAAGATCTGTGTATAAGATTTGTTAAAGGATAGGTTGGAAGTCACAATCATTGCTAATCAAGAAAAGGGCACAGGCTTAGGAGTTAGACAGATCTTTGGACCCCAGGTTGACTATTTGTTAGCACTATGATACAGACTAAATTACTTACATTTTATGATCTTTGGTTTCCTCATTAAAATAGGGAATAATGAAATCAGCTTTATAGTTTTGAATGAGTATCAAATAATATAACTTTTATAAAGCATATCACCCATAACTGGCACTTAGTAGGCATTCAATAGTTATCATTATTATTTTTTATATATGACAATATAGTTTATATTATTATAGCATTTTCATGTATAAGAATAATGGCCCTTTTCAGAATGTGCCTAAAAGAACTAATCAGTTTGCCAGACCATAGCCTAATTATCAGATTGAAGGAACTTCCCAATACCACCCCATAACAACCATTGGCTCAAGTAGATCACATGGCTTTATGTTCTCATGGAGTAAAGACAGAGAAAATCACATTATCTTCAAAAACAATAGCCTTCATTATTTGAAATTTAAATTCCAAACTACTGATTAACCACACATCATCTTATCCTTAGAGCCTAAATAATTTTGATTTCCCATATAAGCAGCTTTTTCAAAGTAGTAGAGTCTCTGTAGGGGAGTAATTCTCCATATGCCACAGGAAATAGAGCTGAGAGTCTATAGCGACAACAAAAAAATTATTTTTGGCACTTTCAAGTCTGTCTCCATTTTTTGACTCATTTTTCTAACACTTCCTTAGGGTGACTAAGTGTCATTTGCTTTGTCTTCTGTCTACTGTGTTTTAGTGCCTGCCCAAGTTACCGGCTTGCATGTGGCCAACCAAGGGATGACCAGTAGTCTGTTTACTAACTGGACCCAGGCACTGGGAGATGTAGAATTTTACCAAGTCTTACTGATCCATGAAAATGTGGTCATCAAAAACGAAAGTGTTTCCAGTGAGACCAGCAGGTACAGCTTCCACTCCCTCAAATCGGGCAGCCTCTACTCCGTGGTGGTGACAACAGTGAGTGGAGGGATCTCTTCTCGACAAGTGGTGGTGGAGGGACGAACAGGTAAGAAGTGGAGATGTGTGTGTCTATGACTTACAGAAATCTGAGTACCTAGGACGCCCAAACAGAACATTCTAGAATTTTTTTATAACAGCCTAAAAACCAGACTCATCTCTGGCCTTCCTAAAAGCCAAGTTTCAATACCATCCAGAAAGTATATGGAATGGAAATTGAATGAGGGAAGGAGAGAATAAATTCTGAATTTTCTAATATCTCCAATAAACATACAAGAACTCCTAGGAAAACCTTTGCAAAGGCATTATAGTCAC